TACTACTACTACTACTACTACCGGAACTACTACCGGAAGTTTCGTTTACCGTTCTCCAGTCCCTTTTGCACCCTCGATGCTACCACCAGGGTGTGGGACTGAGGCAGGCCAGTGTCTTGCTGGTTTACGTTTTTCATATTTGTTTTTCGTCGCCTCCGCGAAATACTGCACACACGAATACGGTCTACAGAGCATGTTGTGGACCGTGCAGAACCCGCCTGGTGTACGTTCTGCGTACATGGCCGAGGAGGAGACCGAGCTGAACATACTGAACGGCCGGTTCAAATACGATGCCAGAAAATGGAACGGTGTTTCCAAGTCATCGTTCGACTTTGTCTCCAAATTGCTGCTCGGTGATTAAATCTTGGTTTGCAAACTGGGGTCCCTGGGTTCGAGTCGCACGAAATGCGGCACAACAGCCCCAGGTTGCAAAGAGATCCAGACCAACGCATGACCGCGGAGCAGGCCCCTACTCCTCGCCTAAAGCAGACCTCGATCGCATCCTTTTTCACTTTTGACCCGGTTCCTGATCCCACGACGAATTGAAGCACATTGAAGCCATGGATCAGAACTTCCGGACTACACACCATTCGAAGGGCAGAAGACCGCGTGTGCGAGGATTGCTGCAAGGCAATTTCCTCAGCACGACGGACCTTCAGGGAGCACTGCTAATGAATTAGCAGTCGTTGGCCTTGCAGCGGATTCGTGCACGTAAGTGCACAAGATCGAGTCCTTTCCCGTCGCATCGCGGGAAGGTCTGCCAAAAAGAAGCTGAAGAAAGAAGACGGGAGCCAAAGCCTCATCGGTAGTATTGACGGCGACTTCGGGTGGGGACTCGCCAAAACGCACGTTGTACAATACCGAGCTACTAGCAGTTACTATCAGTTTCATCGAGAGTATCATCACTGCCTAAAGCAGAGCAACACAGGACCAAATTCGAGTGTCTGATAGTGTCTGGTATCTGTTTCAGTTGTTGGAAAGCTCTTTGCAAATGGTCTTTGGAGAGTTTTCTTCTGCAGGCGCTAGCCCACCCGTGGGTTGCCGAGCGGGAGCAATTCCCTTCCGGCACGGAATCGGCTGCAGCCCGCTAGAAATTACTCCGAGTATAACGAGTCATTCATGCAGACATCAGGGGCCATGTTTGCAAGCTGAGGGACTGGATGCTTCCGTTGTTCACTCCCTCGCAGCTACTTGGAATGCAGATGTAATGTGAAGGGCGAAGCCATCCCTTGATGCATGTTGCAGCGATACCGAGGAGTATTCCAGAGCCTCGAAATTCCGACGAACGTGCATGCAGGCTTGCGCTTGCCTACGCTCGTGAGAACCTCATGCCAGCTGGATGCTGCTGAGTATGATTTCTGGGTGCCCCCATACCTGATTGGTTGCCTTCCGGCGGCGGCCACTCAGATCCAAAGCCCACGTTTCTTGTCATAAAACCTTGTTGTCAACGCGGCGGCGCAGGTGATGGCTTGGTCCCTGAACAATGCAGAAATGGCAGAAGTCCGTGAGGCAAGCGCTGTCTGCGTGCCTTACTGGCGTTTTCTTCAAACATGCCCAGAAGAGCAATCTTCGCAAATTCGACGGAAGCCCTTTCCGTCACCTGTGCTGGGGCTACGTACTACTGAGACAAAATGCATACGGCCGAAATAGGTCGTGAAGACACCTGACAGCTTTACAGCCGTTTGGGGGCATCGGCACATGGTCACCCCAGCGATTGCTGACAACTAGGTATGTGGCTTTAGTTGAAGCTAGTTAAATTCAAAGTTTGTTAATTATAGGAGATTCTTATCGGGGAGTCTCCGTTCCACAGGCCTTTATGGAGTTGGACGTGCAGAAAACTGGCGCCATCCAGCTTCATCAGCTGAAGTCAGTGTGCTCCCAAGCCCTGGAAAATGAGGGGAAGCGGAAGAGGGAGGTCCTTGGCACTCGGGCAGTCGCCTTATAATGCCCAGGTCTTGGAGGAGAGGTTCAACATCTGTGACGAGGAGACCAGGAAAATCTTCGAGGCTCTGGACTCTTCCAACAACGAGGACCCATTGGCCCAGCAACGGCCTCAACATTAGGGCCTTGGGGTTGTTCCTACGGGGGCCATAGGGACGAGAAATGAATCTGGTAGCGACTTCCTCCCGCGACTGAAGCAGGAAGCAGGCGGCTTGTCCAATTGCCCATACGTGTTTGTATTTTTGCAGCGCTTGTCTGTAGAGACATTGGAGAAAGTTGTGCTAGTGATGGCGTGTGAGAGGAAGTTGGTTACTCCGAGTTCCTCGCTGCCATGATGTCGTCGCGCATTCAAGTTCATGAAGACTTGGTTCGGGCCGCATTCCAGCGTTACGATGAAGATGATTCGGGCTACATCAGCGCCGCCCGGCTGCATCTTCAGGACTCCGAGCGAGGAGTTTGAGGCTTCCTTTAGGTCGGTTTTTGTCCTGAGGTGGAGAACCTGAGGCAGGTCTTGACGGAGAGTCTCGACAGCCCGGACCTGCTTCGGCTTGGGGAGGGTGGCCAAGTCCTGAATGGACTGGTACAGCAAAAGCACACACAAGCTGTCATGTCTATTAATGCCCAATTAAGACGGCACGTGCCGCAAGTTTTCTGAGAGGGATTGAAGGGGTGCATCGAAACTTGTACGCCCAAGTGCTCGTCAGAACGGGCAGGAAACGGCGGAAGAAATGTTGAGCGGAGTGTCAGTCTTTGCTGGGGCGGAGCAGCGTGTTTCGCGACTTGGACGCACACTAGAAGATCGCTTCCGGCTTCAGCATGTGTACATAACAAGAGTAGACCAGAGTGAAGGCGGGATGGTAGACGGAAGCAGAAAGTGCGAAGCGAGATCTGGCCTAAACGGCACGGGGGCCATTGGATTTCGTTGACATGCAGCTGGCAAAGCCAAAACTTGTTGGCTGCTGCAGCTGAGGTTTGATGCGTTCATTGAATATTTGACAGGTGGCGAGGCCCCGTCGACGCAAGACGAGCATGGTAAGACTACAGTCTACGGGCTCTACAGTAAGTGTTTAGCAAAGTTGTCCATTGCTTTCTCAGACCTCAAGCTCGTCGCAAGAATCCATTTCCCGAGTTTCTGGCTTTGTGAAGTGAGTCTTAGTACCCCAACACGAAGGGCGAGTCTGAGAGCGCATGAGGTTCCAGATTTCCATAACACCCATAATCTTTCAGAAGCGATTTCTTGGGTGGCTTCTCATACTGCCTGCTCTGCTCTGACACTCGGCATAGACATATCAACACCCGATCAACATGACATGTTTGCCACTGTGGTCGTTGATGAACAGTCCTGGTCGAACTTGAGCTGATGCGTCGCACCTCAGAGCATAGAACCAGATTCTCTCCTTGCGCCCCCCGACAGGCCGATGAGTCCCACAAGCGGGCAGTAGGCAGGCATTGCTGAGGGAGCTAGGAGCGCTGTTGAATTGTGTACGGTGTGCAGCAGTGCAGCAGTGCAGCTGTTGTTCCGCAGCGGTAGCTCTTGTCGGCCTGAATTTGTGTGTGTGTGTGTGAACGCCTGTAC